GGATCCATTACATTACGCGCTTCCATTAACATGCCTGTAAACTGAAGGTTTAGTTCAGAAGGTTCCACCTACGAAAAGGAGTAGAGGCGCTGCAAGTGGTTGCACGTGTGCGGCGTTCTCACCGAGCCCCAAACGAATTGATATAGCAGTACTTTACTGCGCCACATTAACTAATTGGGAAATGCTCCGCTAGCTTACGCGCGATGTCGCGACCTCTCGTGAGCTACATTGTGACCTAATAAGGTTACACAAAGGTACTTTTCAAATCGAGAGGATCCAACACGAGTTTTAAGCCAAGGACGGATAATCCGCTGAGCAACAAGAAGACCAAACCGTCGGGAGTCTATTAGAAAAATCGCGTCTGAATTTCAATGTTGGACGAGTGTGCGGTGAATAGAGACGCAGAGACGCTCAGCGAGAGGAAAAGACTACGCAGTCGCACCTACACAACAAAGGCCAGAAAATCCATTACATCACCAAGCATTAACCGCTGGTCAGCGCCTCTCAAATCTTGTGTAGGCGGACCTTCTGGGTATCTCAATTTTTTAGCGCCCGCCCCCCTGTAAACTTTCGGAGTACAAAAATGTCCTACTCCACAGTACTGCTTGGTGCGGATTCTGACGTGCCGCCGACTCGCTCTCCACCAGTTGTTGAGGTGGGTAAGTATACTGGTGGAAACGACTTATACGAATGATATGGCATTTCGCCGCCTGCCGAAAAACCTATGCCCCCTCCCGCCCTCGACACGCCCCGTCATCCGTTGCGAACGAGACTGCCTCTGCAGACTTGCGCTCCATATAGCCGAAATAGATCCACCTTCAGCTGATGGCAGAAGATGTCTTTTAGGGATTTGTATGAACCCGTGTAGCGCAGGAGTGCATAGACAAGGTCTACACAAGTGGCCTCTAATTGTTCGGTAGTTCGATTCATGAAAATAAGCGCAGCCTTCTTCACAGATAGTGACCATCAAAAAGCGAAAAAATGAGCACGATTTGAGGAAAGGTTTGAGAACGAAAGTTAAGCGCTGATGGTAAGAGTAGGAGCTATCCATGCATTCAGATCGACAAATCTGTACATTTAAATAATGCATATAATTACATATACAGAAAAGTTTGGTACAAATACAGACCAAGTGCCAAATGGCAGATGACTTCACAGTGATCTTCGGCGGCATCGGGTATTCCACTAACCGACATGTAGCTGTCTCCTACAGTTTCTACTTTGTAAGCCTGAAATTAGGTTAACTTCCACAAAAATCGATACAGTTGGTAACTATGGAATCAATCGAACAGTGTCAGGAGGGGCGAATCAAGCCCGCCTTCAGCTGCCTTGCTCAACCAATGATAATCGGTTAGAGAAGATTCAAAAGAAAACAACTAGTGGTAGAATACGCTGCGGTGGGCTCACGCCACACCCCGTGACACCGCCCCGACTGATCACTACGATATCAACTGTAAGTACCGAGTAACCCTGATATTAACCTACTTTTTGTAGCACAACTAAACGATCAAATCGTGTGAACAGGTTATTCAACAGGTGGACAACGTCCTTAGGTTGGCACATGGGTACAATTTGTTGAAAAGAAGGCACGTCAGAAAACATCACTGTAGCTGACTCGTATTCTCCTGAATTCGATCATTACTTTACAGTAAAAACGGAAAGTAATCGTTTCGAACTTACGAGCGTCGACATTCAGGCCACTTTTGAGCTGATGAGCCACTGAGGCCGGAAGCATTTCACTCAACAGAAGCGTCTGTTTTGGCTTTTTCCACCTCAAGATCTTTGGCCATCAATTCCAACTGCTCGTTGTTAGCTTCCAACTGTGCGCTGCAACAGTCCTCCATTTACTGAGGAAATATGAGTAAAGAAAATTATAGGAGACCTTAACACTTCAAACGAGCAAATGTTATAGTATGTTTTGGCACCAATGAGACTTGGTGGTCCCACCAAGAGGCGTTCAGGCCAAGGAAACCATGATCAATGATCAGCACTAGGCCACTTCCCTAAACAAGTTCTTGACGAAGTATTTTTTTCATTTCTAGATTGAACCATTTCAGTGGGACTACCAAGCCTCACTGCCGCGGACTTTCATAGTATTCCAAGAACTCTTTTTAATTTAAATGACTTTGATACTTCATCTCGACGTCACTAAGACGCTGTTGATTCAGAAGGATGAGATCTCTTGTGGCGTCGTGCAGAGGCATAGCGGTGAGGCGCATTCCAAATTGTAAGAGTTCGGGAATGGAAGTGACATAAGGTGAACACAAGTAGATCACGTGGCGACCTAAACTTGGACTTCGTACTGCAATGAATTATTGAAGGGAAATAGAAGCTATTAATAAATAAAGGCAGTGCGCTTAATCGCTAAGAGCTGGCGGCTGTCACCACCGTCATTGGTGGAAGGGCTGAGTAGAGTGTGGCCGAACGCCATCTTGTAGCCCTTCCTCCAATGACGCTGGCAACAACCGCCCGCCCCAGCAATCGTGCCCCTTGCCTTCCAAGAATACTAAAACAAATCGTCCATCAGCAAGAAGAGAAAAGGAACCCAGCCCAGGGTACAGCATTTTGATGGGTTGAGCGGCGGCAGTACGATCTTTCCCCACGTTTTCTCCTTGGTGCAACCCCCCTCCTTTCCTTCTCCATCCTAAATAGCATCTTCTTAAAATTCCCCAACTCTTTCCCCCTATTTCCTCAGCTATTTCCTGTTTTTCACAGAAGAAAAACTGCCGTTGGGTGGGACAAGGGGAAGAGGTGGTGGCGAGATCCTAAAAAAAATCCAGCTGTCTGAACTAGTGCTTGTATAGTAGCTCTACGGCGCTACCAAAAGGGAGAAACGGGTGGGGAGGGGGGGGGATATACCTCACATAAAAGAGGAAAAATAAGGAAAAGTCAACAGCCGAAAAAATGCCTTGCTCCTCGGGAAGTTTTTTTTTCAGATGCAAATTGTAATTTCTGGAAAATAGATTTTCTTTACCTGTGGACAGCAACATCATCTGGCCTTTCAATTTCAGATGTTGACTCTGCGTCATGAAGTCGCTGCTCCTGTCAGTGTCAGCACCACTTCTGAAGCAGCCGAAGTCTATTTTTTTCAAAACCTCTGGCAGTAATACCACCTACATATACTACTCCACTCTTCAAAATTGAGTAAAATTCTGGTCGGGATATTCTCCCAGGAGTAAACTTGGTTAGTACATTGTACCCAGTCATCCGACCCCATGAACACTAAGGTCAACCTAGCTCCCGAGAAAAACCGGTTTTTTTTAATAAATTGAAGAGAAATGTAGAAACCGACCCTTCCATTGTCTGACTGTTCCGTTTGTTCACACTCCTTTGAAATTCCATAGGAGTCGTTTTTACTTGTAAAACAAAGACAGCATTGATGAAGTTACAAATTGAATCGAAATCGAGCGGAATTTGAGGTCGATTGATTTCAAATATTCGAATAAGTGGCGTACCAGGAGCCAGAAGGTCACGGGGTATATAGTTGCTTAATGAAAGAGAACAATTAAAATCAAAAAATAATTTATAGTAATTCTTCCATACTAAAGCTCTCTGCCCGCCTGAACAAGTTTGCAGTCCTGATCCACTACGAAATGATATGGAAAGGTTGCAATAAAGTCCTCGTTAGTCAGGCGAATTTTGAAGTCATTTTCTTGAGCAGGACGATTCGGTGCGCCTCCAAGGGATGCGATTCCGGCGTCACTGGTATTGATCGTCTGGAATATCATCGATGTAGGTAATGAAGATAAAAGAGTTCTACAAGGAACTGAACGTTTAATGTGCGGCCAACTGGGCAGTATAATAATAACACTAGTGGGTTCAAGATATCCGAGACATGGCATCGCGAGCAGACAGGCAGGGATACAGTTGTTTTCACTGTAGATTCCTCGGTGTAGGCCAGGAATCTACAGCGAAAACAACTGAGGCTGGGTTTGGAGCTTCGCCAGCCCACTCTCCACCAATTGTTGGAGCGGGCAGGAGACTATAATTGGTGAATATCGGCATCAGTATCAGAACAGTATCAGAAAAAACGAACCTTAATTAAAAAAATGACGTGCTCCTCCATGCGTTCTCCAGTTGCCATTTGAACACTTCGTTGTGTTCGGCCAGTAATTGTCAGAGCGACATCCAGCTCGAAAACTCGTTTTGCTGCCTCCTTCAGCACTCCTTGATAGATAATTTTCAGAGCTCAAAAATTGTGAATCTTGCAGGTATGGGATGGATAGCTCAGTTCTACAAGGGCGCTATATAGTTGACGATGACCTCTCGGATTGGTTCCACCCAACGCAGTGAACTAGTAAACCACTGGTAAAACAAAAAATGAGAATGCGGGGCAACTGTAACTTTCTAAACAGGGTGCGTCACCCCTGGGAGATGGCCCAAATGAGGAGTAGCACTTGCTCGTTAGAGAGGGGATAAGGAGCCCTTGATCAAAATTTTCCGTTGTCGACTTTCTCATTTTTTCCCATTTCGTCCTCTCTCTAGTTGACGGTGCCTAGAAAGATGCTAGGCATGGATAGGGCAGGCGGTCGTACCAGAAGAGGAAACCTTGAAGTCTGGATGGGAGGTGAGGGGGGGAGGCGAATGGTGAACGAACGCATCATTTCACCACTTATTCACTGACGTGCTGTGCCCTGGTCCTGAAGGCCTTACAGGATAGAAATTCCTGTTAATCACTTTCTTCTACAATTTTGCAATGAGATCAGAAGTAAATCGATTTCAGGTGTTCTATTGAATTAAAAACTAAAAAATTATATAGATACCCTTAAACTGGAAAATTGTATAAGTACCTTCTGATTAGATTTTGTAACCACAGCCAAGATATTAACAACTCGGTCAGCGATAAGGGGGGAGAATTTGTAGCGCTACCTCAAGAGCTCGACAGGGCCATAACGAGGGCCCACCTGGAAGACGAGAGCCTTTACCGCCCTTCGTCTGAGGACGAGTACAAAAAACAGTACCGTAGGTTGTACAGGGTATGGACTGATGTGGTGAAGGCGGCACAGCTACCAAAAGTTGTGATCAACGGCTGAATGTGTGACCTCCCTTACGGTGTCCCCTGTCCTTTATGTCCTCCTAAAAACGCACAAACTCTCGCAGGCCACCCTGTCTTCAACCAGCCCCTCGAAATTTCCAGGTGCGGCCAATAATAAGCAGTGTAGGAGGACCCACCGATAGGATATCTTGGCTCCTGAACGCCAGGTCCTGTGCCAAACTTCTACCGTTCATCCCTGCCCACCTCAGTAACACCAACCAATTGCTCGACCAGCTACGGGAGGCCAGATTTAGGAGGAACCATGTGATCGAGTCGTTTGACGTCACGTCTCTTTACACCAACGTGTCAAACGAAGATGCCATGCAAGCCGTTTCCGAACTACTCAGAGAACACGAGACCGCGATAACCACGTACGGCCTATCGACCACCCACGTGATGACACTTGTCAAAGAGTGTCTACAGTGTTCAATATTCAGGTGGTCTGGGCAGTACTACAAGCAGATCAGGGGTCTCGCAATGGGCCAGCGGTTGGCACCAGTCCTGGCTATAGCCTACATGTCCAGGATAGAGAAGCCCCTCCTCGAGCGCCGACCTATTTTATACCGCCGGTACATAGACGACTGCCTTATTGTTTGTTCTACGGCGGCAGAAACAATGGACCGTGCTTCAGCTTGCTGAACAACCAGGCAGAAAACATCCGATTCACCCGTGAGAAGCCAGTGAACACTTGGCTTCCCTTCCTCAACGTACAGATCCAACTTGAGCGGGGGTGCTATCGGACGAAGTGGTACCGCAAGCCGAGCAACAAGAATATCCTGGTTCATTTCCGGTCGGCGCATCCAGTGAGGACAAAGCGGGCTATCGCCAGAAACATGTTCAGGACGGCGAAGGTGGTCTCGTCAGGTGATCAGGAGAGAAAGCGGAGTTCGTTTGGCAGCTTCGCTCGGCAAATAGCTCTTTCCTCCTACTGGGATTACCCTCCTAAAGATGGACCCCTCCCTGGACCACCCACTAGGCGTCGAGATAGGGCTGCAGACGAGGATTCCGAGAAGGTGCCGTTTTACTTGCCCTTCGTCAGTGATGGGATCAGCTCCGCCGTAAGAACGGCCCTGCGCAAGGTCCAACCTCGACACAATGGTCCGGGTGGTCGAGATCCCTCCCGCGTCCCTTAAGCAGCAATTGGTCCGCAATCGCTGGTACGACCGGTTTTGCCTCACCCCCCATTGTGTTATCTGCCCACATGGGAAGCAGGGTGACTGCATGGCATCAGGTGTGATCTACCTGATCTCATGCATCCTCTGTGGGGCCGAATACATCGGCGAAACTGGGCGGCCACTTTGCTCCAGGGTGAAGGAACATCTGGACGGTATGGAGAAATCGAGGCCTCAGACCCCCTGGGTGGACACAGGGTGGACGCACACGGAGGGGCGGAGTTCCAAGTCTCTGTCAGGATCTTGTCGCGAGAGCCTCACACGTTCGGACCTCTTGGGACGCAAAACTTTGGAGGCCTTCTGGATACGCGCCAAAAACCCCAAGTTGAACAGGAAAGATGAATGCCTAGCCATAACAAGTGAGCTCGCCCCCTTCGCTGACCTGTGTGGGCTTCAATCGCCATCGGCTTCGGGTCGATGGGCTGGGTCAGCTGAAGTCACCCACAGTGAGTCAGTTTAGCGGTGGTCGAGACGTAAGCTAGCCGTGCTCTCATAAGGTTAGTTGGTTTGTGCTTGTAAGCTACGAGACCTCCCCAGACGCCTTTAGTCTATGGAGAGCTGTTCTCAAGTTTGAAATGGCATTCGGCGGTAGGTCACCTTATCTTTGACTTTCCAGGCTCCGACGAAGGCGACAAGGCCGAAACGTAAGCCAAATAAAAGTTGTTAATATCTTGGCTGTGGTTACAAAATCTAATCAGAAGAATCTCACACGATGCCAAGATTCATTGAAAGCGATCCATGAGATATATAGGTAACCTTCTGATTAGATTTGTAACCACAGCCAAGATATTAACAATATCGGTCAGCGATAAGGGGGGAGAATTTGTAGCGCTACCTCAAGAGCTCGACAGGGCCATAACGAGGGCCCACCTGGAAGACGAGAGCCTTTACCGCCCTTCGTCTGAGGACGAGTACAAAAAACAGTACCGTAGGTTGTACAGGGTATGGACTGATGTGGTGAAGGCGGCACAGCTACCAAAAGTTGTGATCAACGGCTGAATGTGTGACCTCCCTTACGGTGTCCCCTGTCCTTTATGTCCTCCTAAAAACGCACAAACTCTCGCAGGCCACCCTGTCTTCAACCAGCCCCTCGAAATTTCCAGGTGCGGCCAATAATAAGCAGTGTAGGAGGACCCACCGATAGGATATCTTGGCTCCTGAACGCCAGGTCCTGTGCCAAACTTCTACCGTTCATCCCTGCCCACCTCAGTAACACCAACCAATTGCTCGACCAGCTACGGGAGGCCAGATTTAGGAGGAACCATGTGATCGAGTCGTTTGACGTCACGTCTCTTTACACCAACGTGTCAAACGAAGATGCCATGCAAGCCGTTTCCGAACTACTCAGAGAACACGAGACCGCGATAACCACGTACGGCCTATCGACCACCCACGTGATGACACTTGTCAAAGAGTGTCTACAGTGTTCAATATTCAGGTGGTCTGGGCAGTACTACAAGCAGATCAGGGGTCTCGCAATGGGCCAGCGGTTGGCACCAGTCCTGGCTATAGCCTACATGTCCAGGATAGAGAAGCCCCTCCTCGAGCGCCGACCTATTTTATACCGCCGGTACATAGACGACTGCCTTATTGTTTGTTCTACGGCGGCAGAAACAATGGACCGTGCTTCAGCTTGCTGAACAACCAGGCAGAAAACATCCGATTCACCCGTGAGAAGCCAGTGAACACTTGGCTTCCCTTCCTCAACGTACAGATCCAACTTGAGCGGGGGTGCTATCGGACGAAGTGGTACCGCAAGCCGAGCAACAAGAATATCCTGGTTCATTTCCGGTCGGCGCATCCAGTGAGGACAAAGCGGGCTATCGCCAGAAACATGTTCAGGACGGCGAAGGTGGTCTCGTCAGGTGATCAGGAGAGAAAGCGGAGTTCGTTTGGCAGCTTCGCTCGGCAAATAGCTCTTTCCTCCTACTGGGATTACCCTCCTAAAGATGGACCCCTCCCTGGACCACCCACTAGGCGTCGAGATAGGGCTGCAGACGAGGATTCCGAGAAGGTGCCGTTTTACTTGCCCTTCGTCAGTGATGGGATCAGCTCCGCCGTAAGAACGGCCCTGCGCAAGGTCCAACCTCGACACAATGGTCCGGGTGGTCGAGATCCCTCCCGCGTCCCTTAAGCAGCAATTGGTCCGCAATCGCTGGTACGACCGGTTTTGCCTCACCCCCCATTGTGTTATCTGCCCACATGGGAAGCAGGGTGACTGCATGGCATCAGGTGTGATCTACCTGATCTCATGCATCCTCTGTGGGGCCGAATACATCGGCGAAACTGGGCGGCCACTTTGCTCCAGGGTGAAGGAACATCTGGACGGTATGGAGAAATCGAGGCCTCAGACCCCCTGGGTGGACACAGGGTGGACGCACACGGAGGGGCGGAGTTCCAAGTCTCTGTCAGGATCTTGTCGCGAGAGCCTCACACGTTCGGACCTCTTGGGACGCAAAACTTTGGAGGCCTTCTGGATACGCGCCAAAAACCCCAAGTTGAACAGGAAAGATGAATGCCTAGCCATAACAAGTGAGCTCGCCCCCTTCGCTGACCTGTGTGGGCTTCAATCGCCATCGGCTTCGGGTCGATGGGCTGGGTCAGCTGAAGTCACCCACAGTGAGTCAGTTTAGCGGTGGTCGAGACGTAAGCTAGCCGTGCTCTCATAAGGTTAGTTGGTTTGTGCTTGTAAGCTACGAGACCTCCCCAGACGCCTTTAGTCTATGGAGAGCTGTTCTCAAGTTTGAAATGGCATTCGGCGGTAGGTCACCTTATCTTTGACTTTCCAGGCTCCGACGAAGGCGACAAGGCCGAAACGTAAGCCAAATAAAAGTTGTTAATATCTTGGCTGTGGTTACAAAATCTAATCAGAAGAATCTCACACGATGCCAAGATTCATTGAAAGTCGATCCATGGATGTATAGGTACCTTTTACGATAGGATATAGCCCAGGCCTTCCAGTATAGTAGTGCAAGGTAATACTGCCATCAGGATTGTCTTCACAGCGAAACGACGGTCCACGTAAATTTGCTTTGTATAACGACAATGATGCGATGAAATAATGCAGCGAGTCCAGGTTGTCAAGGAATCCCTAAAGTGAATCGCCGCTTTAAGCATTAGTAGAGATTAATACTACCTTATTAAGGTAGTAATTACAAAAATCAAACAGGAAAGTCAACATTTGAGCTTCTATCTGCCATGTCTGACAGCTTTTCTAGTATATCTAGGAAGTCGCTTGGAAGGCGAAGTGATAAGTAATCACTTTATTAGCTATCCAGAAGGGCGGAGTCTGTGGAAATCTTTTTGGTTCCAACGTTCAGTAGATGTATGTGCAAACCGCCATAGGTCAACTCTACGGACGAGTTGTTCTTTTCCAAAACGAATATTACCTTTAGATTGGGGCTCATTGAGCGAATTAAATCGTCCCAGCCAATCTCCATAGTATATTCGATGAGGAATCCCCCATACATCTCCCACACTTGTTCTCTGGTCATTTCTGTAATGGAAAATTACAACAAAGTAAATAATATATGTCATAGAGGTAGCAATGAAAAGCTCACTTGCCGTCACACTAACTGCATCTACAAGTATATAAGTGTCTGAATCCGAATAATAGTGATTAACAATATTTTCTTTACCAGGCTCAAAACCTGCTCTCAATCTGAAATCATGTACACTAATTTTTATGCCAACATTATACATGGGTCCTTTTCCTTAAATTCCTTATTTTCCTTTTTTTTTGTTGGGTTTTTTTGGGTTTTCTTGGGTTTTTTCAGGGTTATTCACGATGATCTTTGTTCTTTGAGGGTAATTATCCTGGATAATTATTATTCTGGGAGGAATGGAGACAGTAATGACGCCTACAGCCATTATTCCTGCAAACGAGGGAACGTGTGAAGGGGCGTGGATTGGAGGGCAGCCAAGAAGATTCCTGAACAGAGTTAAGAAAGTTTTCCCGCGACTTTTCTAGGCTGGAGCGCTGGGTTGGGAAGAGATCAAACCAACATACTTGTTAAAACCTGTAAGTTATGTAGTCTGGTGTGCTGCAACACACACTGCTACCATTTTGCACGATAATATTGGATTTGCACTCAATAATGGAACCACTGCAAGTGCACGTGATGACAACCAAACAGTTGAAAGTTCCTCAGGGTATGAGGGTGCAGGCGCCCGAAAAGACGGTCGCAAGGGTTCCGTGTCAAACAAAGCTTCGTTGCTGACCAGTTTCTTTCAGGGATGCGGCATGCATTCCACTCCAAAGAACCGTAGTGGTTGACTGAATGCGATACTGCCTACGCAATGACTTGTGTGGGCCAGCCGATGAAGGTATGTGTTCCTGTCCTCGCAGAGGGATCTGGTACCAAGTTGCCGTCCCTGGGGGGGGGGGGGGGTAGAAGGCTTTGCTGGCCTGAGCGGGAGGCGGTCCGATATTTGATCCCCAGACCGGGTGCGTGCAAAGCGGGCCCCCTTCCACTATACCTTTTCCGCCGTTTGTGCCAAGCACAGATGAAATTCATTTTCAGGATGTCAAATTACCCTAGCCGCGAATTCCTGGGTAAGTGGGCAGTCACAGATGCAGAAGCCACGACCAAGTGGTCTAGTGGTTGTCTTGCGATCAAGGCTGCATCTTGAGACTGGTTTAAGATTAACTTTTCAGACTCGTTTTCGAAAGGAAGAGCGGTGTTTGTCTAAAGTGACCACAGCCTCCTCTTTCCCTGATAACCTGAAGAATATCCAAGCCGAAAGCGAATCGATTGCACGCTATCCCTAGGTTTGCTAATTATGCGTGAACCTTTCTCGAAGTTTCTTCTAAATCCCTGTTATCGCCCGAACTCCGCACTCAGCGGTAATTCTAGCACGAATATCGCACTATTTTGCGCGAAAGGATTTGCGTGAAGCGCTACCGACACCAGTATTTCCAGGCCTCCTTCCGGATTAGTGGTTCCGGGTCCTGCAAGACACTGCTTGCAAACCTTTACTACAGAGAACGACAGGACAGCAGTGATGTAGAAGCGATGCTAAATGCCGCTGTAAACATCAGGGCACATCGTTGTTGGGGAATCCCCAACAGGAGGGTCGTATTTGGCCGCCAGGAGAGGGGGGTCGTATTTGGGCTGGGAAAAATTTATTTTGATAGTTGATTTTTCTCGCTTCACGGACGTTGTAAAGGGGGGGGGTCGTACTTGCTCATTGTTGGGAGGGGGGGGGTCGTATTTACTTTCTGGCCTTTCTAGGAGTGGTGGGAGTGGTGGTTGACTTTTCGTGATTTCGTGATTTTCCTGTTTCATGCGTACTATGTATATATCGCCTTGTGCTCGACGGCTCGATTCGATGAAGAGGGAAGAGCCGGAGAGGTTGGGGGGGGTCGTACGGAATCGAGTAGAATTAGCAACCAATGATGTGCCCTGGTAAACATGTTTCTAAGAACCTGAAGGCGTCAGTTCAACCGCAACTGCTACCGTGTTCCTGCGAAGCGGACACAGAACGTTTAGGCCATGCCACAGCAATATCAATGACTCCTCGCAGTGTAAATAAAAGGTTGCGTGACTACATGAACTTTTGTGCACGATCCTGTTGCGAAACCCTGTGACGCAGGCACCTAGAGACCCGAAAATCGCAAAAAAAAACGCGGCAAGGCATGGGATGGAGTTTTCAAGGGAAATGAGTCCAAAGTGAATGAGCCACCTAACAGCCTAGAACGCTGGAATTTGTGAAGTCTTACTAGTCGTAAAAGCAGGGAAAAACAGGAAATTGACGCGACCAAGGGGATTGAGTTCTGGTTGTCCGGAGAGTCTTTAAGGTGTTCTCAAATCACAGCATGTACGACACTGCAGACGGAGCCTGATTAAGGGAATCGTTCCACAAATTTCGAAGGCTGATTTGAACTCGATGTCCCGGGAGGAGTTAGTCGATACATATCTGTTCTTGAACAGTCATGGCAACCTATTTACCCTGCTTGTTCGCAAAAGTCAGATACTTAAAGTCTTTTTTTTATTTGAGCCTCTCCATTATCATTCAGTAGTCCAGATGTAATAGATTAATAAATGTTACTCACAAAACTTTACTCCAAAACTCTTCTCCATACTTTCTCAACATCAACTGCCGAATGCTTTCATGAATGAAACCAAACTAAACGTCACATAATAACACGAAATAATAAACACAGCAATCAAATACAACCTACCATGGCTCCGTGGTGAAGCGTTTATCATCGAACGATGAGAGCAGCGTCTATGGATTTCAATGAATGAATATTTAATCGACACGCTATCACCTGGCCCACATTAGAAGCGCACCAAGCGAGCGTTTTCAATCGCTACTACGTCTCCATTATGCATCACATTCTCAAAAAAAGGCAGTTCATTGCAACTGAGCATTTCCTTCTCAGGAGGCGGTTGTGTACTATCCATTTCCCTTGTATTTGCCACTAACAAAGTATGTTCACAGTAAAAGTCAGAGACCTGGCCCAACATTGCATGATAACACTCCTACAGCTGCAAGATAACACGCCATTTTCGTTCCAAAGATGAGGATCTTTGCGAAGTGGGCGAGGAACTGCCCTCCAGTACTTCTCCAACCCATGGCATGACCCCAAATGGACCAAAGACAAATCCAGCGATTGTATGTTGTAGGTAGTGGCGTTCAAGTGTAAACTATAGTGCTAAATAACTCTCCATGAAAGAAAAAAGCAAAAAAAAGGAAAAATCATGGAGAACACAGTAAAGATGTGGCAGCCTCTTTGAGCGGACCTGCTCGTTCTATGCCTGCAAAGGGATATACTGCCGCCTCTGAGCCACTAATCGTTTCTTCGCGCCATCAAATGCAAATACCATCCAACAAAAAAAGACGAAAAACAAGGTGTAAAAAGTAAACTAGTGACAGAAGCCTCTGAGTTTTGGTGGGCGGAACAATTAGGCAGGTGTGAGAACTACCACTTATGAGGAACGCAGCGCCTTCGTTACTTACTGTGAAGCCGCGAAAAAGGGATAATCTTAGAGATTGCGGACCAAACCTTTTCTTATGAAAGGAGGGACGCTTACACGCGAGGACTGTCTTCAGACGCTTCCAGAGACTGTCCATGGGTTGGGAAAAGTGCGTGAATGTCGGCAACGCTTCGGCGTATGAAGTAATGGAGAGATGCTACGCCTTCGGTGCCCACCTCCCAGGTGAAGAAGGCGCGCGCCGAATGGGTAGGCCCGTTGCAAAAATTCATAATTCGTTTCCGAAGTCAAATAAAAGGTAAATGCAAATATACATCTTCCAACATAAAGACGGAGAGTCAATAGAGGGTTTGTACTTGCCGAGCATTTTTCCGCGACACGATGCTTGATCCAGGAGTGTACATTGAGATAAACACACTTTCAATTAACTAGTGGCTAGAATTGTTTCTTTGTACATGTAGGCCACCACGTTGCATGACAAAGGAGCTGAGACCGTCATAAGCTGAGGAAGGGCTACACGTAAAAGTTTAGTCACCCCGCTGAAGATGAAGTATGCCAACGGACATATACAGGGGTGGCCAAAAAAAAGTCACTTTGCTTCATTGACTTTCGAGGCGCTATAAGTTACACTTTATAAATTCTGATCGGACATTTCTACCACCATATTAAAGAGCATATTAAATACTATCATGACACTCCGCCACAGCCTTCTGGAGGAGCGCCATCGAGAGATTCTGGCACGCGACCGCGATGTGGTGCCTGAGATCAGCGAGATAGTCGATTTCTCCGCCACCGTAGACCACCCTATTGAACTCCGCCCGAACCGGGTAATTGATTCAGGTCAGGTGACCTACTTGGATATTCCATCTTCTTTAGGTACTCAGCCCCTTCCATTCCAAGTAGGCGAGTGTTCTCCAACGCCCTTCGATTTCATGTGGTGGCACTCAATGCTGTAGCAGTACAAAGTTTCCAAGAAGACCACATGTGAGGAGGATATTCTTCACGAGTTGCTCAATGTAACCGCCAGCGCTCACCTTCAGTCCGGGGTCCACGAAGAAAATATTGGTCTTTCCATTCCAGGTACGTCCGGTCCATACCATCAACCCGCGCCTTGGCGACTGCGGTGAAGATGATGTCCTAGACCGTAGCGACGTTGTCGGAGCTGCTCGATGTTGGAGGTCTTCCAGATCGAGAGTACTGGTCTCCAGGTAGCTATCCATGGGTTCCAAAGGTCTTCTCCAGTCAGGCTGCGACTGGAGATGACTTCATATTTTGGTGTACATGAAGGTGATGGGCGAGAGCCAGCTCCTGCTTATCGAGGAACATCTTGGGTATCTTCCGCCCTGGTACTCGTATCCACGTCTTCTCTCTGGGCTGCGAAAACTTTGCTGATATGTGACTCGGTCGAAGTGACTTTTTTTTGGCCCCCCTGTATACTCGAAATCCCTGAGATCGGGTAGGTGTGGCTGCATCCTTGAACTTAACCTGAAGGAGTCTACGCCTCTGGTAAGATATTTTCATCCTGACAAAATTGTTTTCGTGTCTTGTCCAACACAGAACAAGATGACAGTTGTCATAGACTGGAATATTACACGAGTAACCAGTTCCGTGCCATGTTCAAATGCCACGCCTACTCTGGTTCAGGGATAGTGTATCTACTGACACGTGTAATGCGTCGCATTCTGTGAAGGATCGACTTTTGATGACTCTCTCGCTTTCCCGTTCTCTCATGTCTCTCTCCAGCCTCCTTGCCTGCATAGCAGTGTCTCATTTCTTTAAATTCTCTTACGAAACCGGAGTTTTCCGCATTTCTGTTCACTCTTTTCTGGGTAGTAGGACCGCAAGAACCAGTGAATCCATATTAGGACCCCATTCCCTTGAGCGGGATAAGTCTTTAAATTATAGTATCTCTACAAATTGCTCCTGAAATATTATGAGTGTCCCTAGCAGTAGCAACGGAGCAAATAGGGAAGTCGGAACAAACTCGCATCGGAATCAACGGATTTTTCGGGGACGTTGTGGGCTCACACGACGCGACAGCGAAGAACATGCGTATTCTTGACTTTTTCTTGACTACAGTTTGTTTCATAACGCCATTTTCCAAGTAAATCTTTATTGAAAATCTTCATAGTCTCAAAGTAATCTTCACCGGGAAACATAGGATAACTCAATATATCTCACAATGTCGTAACGGTTTCATAGCATAAATGATTCCGGACGCTAATAATTTTGGAGGTAGACATTTAAAGGGCTCCTGTTTCAAAACTGGGATTCCAACATTGAATATGAGCACTTTTGCCAACGTGGGAGAAGCTCCAGGGTCGGTTAACCAATTCACAAAATGGTGTTTTTATTTGTATAAGCTTATTCCCACTATTTACAAAAGGAATCCTCTAAGTGCCCTCAAGGTTATAAGCGCTCGCCATTGCTGCAGTGCTCAGTATGAACTCCTGAACAATATTTATCACAGAAGAAAGATCATTTCTAACACCATTACTGCTCATCAAGCTTTACAGTTCCATTCTATCGATATTATCTCTTTTCTCGGTAGCCAGGTTCTTAAAGTGTTGTGAACTCTTGAACTCTCTGTACAATGAGAAGAAGCAGTGCAGCGACTGAATACGACTTTTGGAGACCGGTATGTCAAGTAGACCAAGGCAAATGTCCGTATATTCCTCGAGATCAACATCCAACTCGGCTGTGGGTAACTGAATGAATTACTTGATAAATGATATTGTAAGGCACTAGACTTGTTCAGAAAAACTAATCGATGAGACAGTACACGCGAAAGCCGTGGAGAGACCTACCCTTACTCCGTCTAGGCACTGTTCGAAATGTGTGTGAAATTCCTGCATGAGGCTTTCGATGTCGGGCATAGGACTGCGAAACTGTACTGTAGACTGAGATGGTCGAGTTCTATGCAGTTCCTGAACAATAAAATAGTTACTTGTTTAGCGGTCGCTGTTTACGCCACATGCATGAGACGCGGTAGGCAGCGTTCAGACTTCGCGATGACGCGCTACGACGCGCTGCCAATACAGTGGCGCCCTAATGCTACAGACGGAAGTGCAGCCATGGACGGCTATCGATCAGAGGTTCCGCTACTTTTTTGAGAGAATATGTTGTGATAGGGCGGTGTATGTTGTCATCATATAACATTTACTCTAGTATTCCTCTATGGTCTCCAGAACACCGCGACCAGCTGCGATCGATAGCAGTTTGCGTGAAATCAGGCTAACGCCGCGCCAAACAGGTCTACGGACAGCTAAAACTCAATCCCTTTAATGGCGCCAACTTTCTTCTTTTTCTCTGCGCTCTCTTGCCTGGATGGCGATTTATGGCCACTCTGACCTTTCACATCCCAACTTTTCACGCATATTAAGTGGCTCATCCACCCCGATATCCCTTCCCCTCAAAAAACTCATCTCCTGGCTCGCATCGTGTTTTTTGTACCTCACGATGCCTTGGCAGTGGTAGTCCCTTATTGCTCTGCGCTCTGGCCTATCGTGGCAGGACCCCACCAAAAGTTTTAGTTGTCACGTAACCCGCCAAACCCAGCCCCTCTGACACGCCCCAGTATCCGCAGCGGGCAAGCCTGTAAGTTTATCGCTCTTCCCTGGCGATGATATTAAGCAGAAGTCATACACGTCATTTATGTTCCGTCATCAGTGGCTCACTCTCTGCTGCCCATTTAGATCCAAACGACAATGCGTATGACTTGCGTGGATTGGAGAAATGCCAAGGTGTCCCTCCCACCAATGATGTCATCCTGAGTCCGCAACAACTGGCGGGAAGGCTGTACTGGCTGCATAGGACTAACGCACCTTCATATGCTCTACGGTTTGCAGGGATCTTGAATATATTGTTGTCAGTTACAAAATCCTGTCCATGTTAAGCTTGAACAAGTAATGGCAGCCTTATTAGCCTTATTCTAGCACAGCAGAAGTGCGCGGTAGTGAGTCTTTTACTGCAACCACCCGACCGCACCATTCCTTACTTTATTTTAGCAGTTAATTTATTACTTAATTGGTTAAGTAATTTAGTACATGGGGTAATATAGTGTTGAGAAGGATATATGACAACTTAAAGTGTAGCTTTCAAACCTTAATATTGGAAATCCACTTGTCGATTTCGTGAGAGGATTTGTCAGCACGTTCAAGCCGCTTAACAGGTGCATCCTCCTGTGTTGTTACCTGAACAGGTGCCGGAATTATTCGTGGCTATATAAGTACTACTTCAAATGTAATTACAACTAATTGTAAGACGGAATTGAGCCCTCGAAATACGACGCACCCCAGGGTTGTCGCCTTTTGTTGATAGGATTTGGTTAACCCTTTTGACACTACTCCCTTATCAAAGCGCCAAAAATCTGAGAATGGATCGCCTATGTACTGCTAAGAACATTCATACAGCTTATATCGTTGCAATCAGGGTGGGCGGTGTCAAGGCGTGGAGTGAGCCCGCCCTTGGTCCTTCTACCAATAAGGAGCGGTCGGTGATCTGTCCAGGGAGAAAGCAACCAGTGGTAGATCAAGCAGTGGGTGGGCTCATTCCATGCTTCCCGACTCCGCCTCGACTGATTGTGGCGATATTAGCTGTATATATAAGACATAACATATAAGTTATATGTAAAATAAAAACAGCAGAAATAACAATCCTTACGTCTCTGTTAGCACGTCGCAGTTGCATTGCAAGTATAGTCGGATCGCTTTGCTGAATGGCCGGTTCATCGAGTTGGATGAGCCCTATGTTGTCCTCCACCTGAATAGGGAAAACAAAGGTGCAACTGCAATTGAACGAAGCCGCGCTTGAAAATGGAAATAGATTATTTCTTCTAAAACCCACTTCATCGGGACGAGGGATTTTGATCATAGCGTCGATGTCACCAATGGCTGGCAAGTAATCCATGACGAAAGGCTTAAGTAGGAGACGAGGGCGAATCTCCTCTGGCTGGTAAGCATTAACAAAAGACAACAACTGGAGTTCCTCATCATTGAAGTCATTGATGTTATTTCCATCAGAGTCGGAATAATCTGGAAAAATATTATTTTATTTTCAGACACGGGACTGTTTTCCTCCATTTAGGATGGGAATGTCGCTCACCGTAATCAAAGCTGCAGTAGTATTTTTTGAAAGCAAAAGCAAAAACTGAGTTTCATTTAGTCGGAAGAAGCAAGTCTCAGAGAAATAGCTTTTGTATCGATTAGGTTTACTAATACATCTACGCTACCGCAAAAGGCTAAAATGCATGGAGCATCTTGAGAGAATCAGGCAACCGCTTTGCTCTTTATTACCCCGAAGAACGGCCCTGGCGGTGTAACGGATAAGGGGAGGTCCGCGAGATGGGGTGGGGGGGAGGGGAAGGGGTGGGTGGGAGAGACGCCCAAGTCCCGCCTGGAGTAAGACTTTGGTACATAGCACAACATTCTTGTGGTAACATTCAGAGCATGAACTGCAACCTAGCCTTGAAATGCACTTTCAGTTGATAAGATCGCAATCGGACGAGGCGGTTCAAAGGAGGATTGAATGGGCCACCCCGTGGCGTTTCCAACACCGATTCCTTTCTTCCTAAATTGACTAACCGAACACCATTGCTAGAGCAAGGCAGCCCGAGGGGGGAGGGAGTGTGAGGCTTATCCCAACCGTCTTGCTACCCCCCGACTGACTGCGACGATATCAGCTATGAATATCATGACGAAAACAAGTTCTTAAGTATCTGGAACCCACTCAATCACCATCTGAGATCTATTTACTATGGGTTAGTCATTTTAATTTATTGGGTAATTATCACGTACCCTGACTGTCGCTATCGCTGTTGTCTTCAATATGGCTACTTCTTCGTATCATCTGTTGAAACGGTAATGTCACTTTGGACATAATCAGTTCGTTGAGAGATCCCTTTGCGGCACCTTCAAATGTAAAGAACGATCAGCTAGTAAAAATAAACCGAGATAGATCAAAGGAAATTATTTATTTGAGATTTTGCGCGAAATTAGTCACGTTCTGAATGTGACTAGAAAAGCAGGATACTGCCTCCATTAAATGCCAAACATAATGCGTACACCTCCCACATAATGGGTTGTCTTCATAATCGATTCCACGTTAGTCGTGGGTTATAGTGATGGAGGAAATAACTCGGAGAGAATACTGGGCTGCACCCAATGAGCTCGAATTGCCTTAATTCACTCTCATAGCCTGCGCTACAATTTGTTTATACGGTAATGGTGATAACAACTACTGTGATCTGGCAAAACAACAGGAAAAACTGGTTGAATTTTGAGTTATACTTCTGCGAGGGTGCAAGACGTGTGCTGACAGTGGAGCTGCACGATCATACCTAAGGGTCGGGTTGCTTGAAAATGCACCTCAAGCGGGTGGTCCACTTCATCTAGGGCTGAATATTCTAGGAGATCGATATCAAACAAGTACTGGTTGAAGTCGCTATATAGAGTCGGTATCTATACGAAAAGGCTTCCTGCTAGTGTAGCCGAAGAGGAGTTGTCTATTAAGAGAATTAAAAAAATGAGATTGACGCGTAGTTCGCGGGGCAAAACTATAAAAAGAGGGCGCTCCACTGACTGGCTCCAAACTTTTCGCTGCTCTAGCTGGATCTGAGCCGCTATGCGAATTTGGTGAGATATTTCCTGCTCTGTTGTGTACAGTATTGTTCGCCGCGGATGCTGGGGCGTGTCGAGAGAGTTTTCGCAGCATCAACCCCCTCTCCAATGGTTGAAATGAGCAAGCGACAACAGTTGGTGGAAAGGGGGCTAGGCACCGATCCCAGCCCCTTGAAATGCCCCAGCATCTGCAGCGGACATAGCTGTACACTCTAAAAACCTGAGATGCAGTAGGCATGGCAGTGTTCTTGAACTAAACGTGGCGGTGGCCGTGCTTTGGTGAGACATTTCATTTTGAGACAGTTATGGTTATACTTCTTGTCCAACACAGAACAAGATGACATGTCTCAAATTGAAACATCCCACGAACATCCTATGCCATGTACATACAAATACCACGCCAATTCCGTCTGCAGGATAAGAAGTCTACGTGTGCGTGAGATAATGAAATCTAATCAATGACGGAAGACTGCTGAATGGCCTCAAAGAGGTAATTTCGCAAGGCCAGACTTAGACCAGACTTTACATTCAAATTATTTCAGTGGGTTTCGCAATCATTGTTTACTGAGAAAAGGTCCAGATTGCCGTGAGTAAGCTCATTTTTTGGGTCTTTTACTAAGCAATACGATAGATTTTTCCAATGTGGGTGGTAAAGAAAAGAAGAGCAGCTTGGACTTACCCTTGTGGTCGTCGGATTTGGGCTCTGCGGGTGGAGTGTATGCCGGTGGTGAAGACGGCGGGTACGGTATTGTTGAGGGGAGATCTAAATTGACACTTCTTAAGAACAGAATAAAAACACACCTCAGCACGGAAGCACAGCAGAACTCCCTTCGGAACTTCTCTAGGAACCAGCCACATTCTTTTTTTCCGAATTATCTGATGGTATGCTCTTAAGTCATCACTCCCAGGGGCAGGGCACATCGTACGTTGGGATCCCAGGTCGCGGGTCGTGTTGATCCCTGGAGGAAAGGGGTCGCTTTGCCTAAGGAAAAATATCTTCGGTTGTTGCCCTTTTTCGATTTTTTCCTGTCCCAAGTGCGCTATATACAACTGTCCTCTGCTCGAGGTTAATTTTTTCGGGAGGGGGGGGGGTAGGGACTTGTAACAAAGAAGGAAGCTCGAGTGGAAAGGGGTCGTACTTCATTAAATTGTCCTCAGGGGCAGGACGTGCCCTACCCACAGGTTTACTTGCGATCTCATGAATGATCAGGTCAGTTCCGGTTGAAGACTGTCATGTCTTGACCGGTGTAAAAGCCAAATATAGCCGAAAACCGAAGGTTTATAAGTAATACTGTGGAAATGGTTATTTTATATCACCCACTTAGTGCTTCTTCGTACTCCTCTGGGACATCAGAAGGTTTTGAGTCCTGAAACGAAGCCGCTATCATAACCACTGTCAATAGTCATCTAAAGAGATTGAAGCTTACCTTCTCTTCTTCTTCCGAATGAGTTGGTTCAGGCCCTGAGAATCTTACTGATCGAACACCTGAAGTTAGCATGCTATCAACGCTCACAAGAGACTCATCAACTGAAGCCAACGTAGCCCCAGACCCTCTGCGTTTGCTCCACTGTTACGCTACCGTCAACCGAGCAGTACTTTTTTGAAATCCGCTGGACATCCTCGCAATGTTTAATTCGCCTTAGTACCAGATGCTTTCCAATCGCAGGACTAGGGGTCTAAGTGCATCTTTTCTCCAAGGGACCCTGCCCATTCTCATGTCATGTCCTCAGGCTCACTGAAAACATGAACAAAAACCGTAAAATCAAGATCAAAAAGTGGATATGGGACGTTAGGTTCAAGTTGCGACGACGATCCCAAA